TAACACTAAAACCCCTTTCTATATTTTTGTTCTTTTTTTTCTTCTTTAAAGCTTATTCAATGTTTTGTCAAGTCCCCCTCGATATCCCTATCCTTATAAACTCTTGTTTTAATTTTTAATTTATTTTATTTAATTATAATATTTTTCTGGATCGCTGATTTGATTTGGATTGATGATTCAGTAGTCCAACACAGATATGTGGATGAACAATCCACCAATTGATTAGGGGTTTTGAAATACTGTTTGGGGGTTTTAAACTTCAGACAATATCTGAATTTGGGGTAATTTGAGACAAAAAAAAACTAAAAACATAGTGTTTTTTTTTTAGAGAAAGTTCACTAAATTTTATTGCTCTAGAATGAAATTATATATTCCGAAACAGACACATCAGAAAGAGTTGTACCACCTTTGGCAAGGAAATCTGCCAATGCATTTGCCTCCCTGTAAACGTGAACAAAGGAAATAGAGAGGGAAGCGGATAAATCCAAGATTTGCAACAGCAACGGTTTCAGTTCCCACAGGAGAAGTTGTTCCTTCTTGCACCACAATATAATATTAAGAGAATCCCCCTCTAGAATGAACTCATGCCCCAATTTCCTATCCACAATAGTACACAGACCAAAAAGAATGGCAGAGAGTTCAACGAAGTTAGCAGTCCGAACATCAAGAGGACCTGCATAAGAAAGAACCACATTTCCATCGAATCACTTCTCTAAAGCCAGATACACCCGGGTTCCCTATCAAGCTGCCATCGAAATTTAATTTATATACCCCGTGTGGCAGTGGCAACCATCTCCCTTTAGACCTATATTTGGTGAAATTCAAGTGGAAGATATTACCTAAATTTCTTCTAACATCTAATCCAATGATATCCTGCCCCCCCCCCGGAGTAATCGAAAGAAAAGACCAAATACAGTGTAAAATTCTATCCAACACCTTTTCACAAGACAAAGTCAGCCCTTCCAAGACTCTCCTATTCCTCTTTCCAAATTTCCCAAAGAATGACTCCTCTCTAACAATTTGTCAAGTAATAGCCCCCAGCTTCAGAAATGGAACCGAGAAGCCCTCTATTATCCCCACTATTGAGAGGGGTATTACCAATGCAACTCCCAACTTCGTGAAAAACCATTTCCAAATATGGCTAACAAAGGTACAATGTAGGAATAGATGGTTACCTGACTCCCCATCCGCCTTACACAAAAGGAAAATATTTGGTAAAATCTGTCTACGCTTTATGAGATTATCAATAGTGAGCACTCGATCTTAGGCTGCCAATCACAAAAATCGTTGAACCTTCAAAAGAAGAGGCCACTTTCATATCCTAGCAAGAATAGGCATAGACCATCTTGCCCTGTCGTGGAAGAGCAAATAATACATAGATTTAACCAAAAAAATACCATTCTTATCAATTTCCCATGCCACTTCATCATTTGCATTCAATGGAATATATACATCTTTCAGCATCTTAAGTAGGTCAGAAAGTTGAGAGAAGAGCAAATCAGGAATTTTATTATATGGAAGATCTATATTCCAGACTATTTGGTTACCTCGGCGAGCATAATTTTTTGCGACATATGCATCTTGATTAACTACTATTTGAAAAAGCAATGAGAAAAGTTATTTTAGTAGAGAATCCCCTACCCATTTGTGCTGTCAAAATGATATATTACTTCCATTGCCTATACACCATCTAATATCTCTATGGATGAGTCATTTACACAACTGAATGGCCTTCCAACAAACTGACATACCTGAGGTTCTTCTTATTGTCCCTAGCCACATGCCGAATTTATCAACACCATACTTTGAAACAAGCACCTGGTATCAGAGATGGTTTTTTAGAGTCAGATTCCTCCACCACCATTTGCAGAGCAAAGCAGAATCAACCAACTTGATCTTTCTGATGCCAAGGCCTCCTTCCTCCCTTAGTGTGCAAACCCTATCCCATAGCAGAAGGTGGAACTTTTTTTATCTACCAAAGATCCCCAAAGGAAGTTCCTCATCATAGACTCAATCTTCTTTGCCACCGAAGTAGGGATCTGAAGAATAGACATCTGGTAGATGGGCAGGTTTGATAAACATGCCTTAACAAGCGTAATTTTGCCCCCAAAAGACAAGTATTTGAACTTCCAAATATCTAATTTCATTT